TTCCTCTCGATCTTCCTTAATTTCATTTAATGCTTCCCTTTCTTCCAATACGGCTGATTTAGAAGAAAGGATTGCTAGTGCGGCACGTAATTCTTGAAGTTGTTGCTCAGTCATGCGAGCATCATCCTCTTCAGGAACCTATAAACACAAGATATATTAATACTTATAAAGTATCAAATCGCCTTGGATCACGCTTAGAAAAGATGATCCGAAGGATTGACAAAGAACTGGAACAGTATGACAGTGAAGTTGGTTCGAAATTAAATTTAATTCAAGCAAACGAGAGTGGACAAATAAGTGTTAGTGATTTAGCGGAAGCACTTAGTATTATTAAACATACACCTGGTGATAATGAAAGGATTAAAAAGATTGTAAATAAATTGGATGCTGATGGGGATGGATTAGTATTTTTAGATCATATTTATGAATTATGTTCCGAAGGAGAAGGTTTAGGCGTATTAGTAGAAAAGCCTCAAGAAGAAAAGGTTCCTAAACCCAAAAAAGAGGACATTGTACAAACATGAGTCGTTTTCTTTATAAACCTGCAAATATTCATTTGTATTAATTATTTGCTTCTATACAAAAGTATGAATAATAATGATAATATAAAATGAAATAAATAATAATAATTTCTGTAAGTAAATATTATTATTGAGCTATGCAAAAAAATAATTCTTGGTTTATAACATAAAATTTTTAAATTTAACCTAGAATTTAGTTTTCATTTTAATTATACCCTAAATCAGTTATACACTAGGTTTTTTGTTTATAAGCGGAATGAAATTCCGCTTATACCCAAGACACTCAGCATATAACTATTACTTATGCAAATTGCATTTTTCAATGTTAACTTTAATATATTGCTAAGTGGTTAATAGTAACATTCACCCGATATATTTTGCATCTGGAAAATGTGTACCAGGTTGGCGCGCCACAATGGCTTGTAAAAAAATAATAATAACTAGCTTCTAATGCTTAGAATAAATTTAAGACTATCGCTATAAAAACATTTAATTTGATAAAAATTAAACAGTCATTCTTAGCTTACTTTTTGTTTATTTTATTTTATATAATT